AAAAGGAATATGCCATCATATTGTCTAGATTTTATATACATTAAAAATTAAGTCTTTGTCCCCTTATTTCATTGATTGAAGTTATAAAGTATTTTGTCATGATCATTTAGAAAGAAGATTATTGCTTTTGATTTCATACAGTAAATACATTTAAATTTTTAATGAGCATTCCTTTCCCCATAAAACTGTAGAAAGTTCGTCTTTCAGGAATGTTTTTATTTTTTAATTTAACTTGAACACTTTCTTTAGATTAAGAAGCTACTTTGAAAAAAAATATTATTCTTTGCTTTAGTATTGAGAGAATATCTTTCTATATGCAAATAACCCATGGCTGAATTTAATATTCCTTCATTTTCTTAATTTTAAAGGTGAAAACACAGGAATTCTTCAAGCCAGTGGATTGCAAATTAAAAACAAAACAAACAAACCGAAAAAACATGCATGTTATATTTGATCCCTGCAGTATATGGCATAAGGCTTAGTTATAGAGGAGGTATTCAATAGGTGGTGTCAAAATCTTTGGATTTCATMATTTCTTAAATTAAAAAAAAGAATTAAGTCTTTGTCCCAGATAAACTCAGATAGTAATGGCAATATAAAAGCCTTTCTCTTTGTTTCCCATTTCAGCACTTCTGGTTCTTTATTTATTTAGCATGTTAGGTAAAGGTAGAGAATGATGTGAGACTACTTCTGAGGAGGAAAAAGGGATTTGATGTTAGTTTTTTTTTTTTTTTGCCTATTCTAGCTTCCTACTTTAAATTAGCAATGTCTTATTGTTTTATCTCCCTTTTTTCGTGATTTAAGATGGAGATTGGAGTCTATTACTTGTCTAAAATAAGAAATATAGAACTTATTTTTTCCTTTACAAAGATTTTATAAGAGAAGGATTAAAAATATGGAGTCCTTTTCATATTTCTCTGCCCCCTTCTGAATATTATATAAATCTTCACACATACCGAAAGTGAAAAAAATCAAGCATATAGAAAAGTTTCAAAGTATGGACATCAGTATATTTCATCTTTAAATACTTGTGCATACACCTCATTTAACTTGCTCTCTCATACTTTTTTTCCCAAAATTATGAAAATTAAGTGTTTCACATGCAATCTGTCTCATTCCTAATCCTTTAAGGTTAAGGTTAATTTATAGTCATCGCTACTTCTATTTAAAACAAAAAATGCCTCTCAGAGACATGTAGACATGAGTAGCAAGATTCAAAGGATACTTTACAAGTTTTTGTATGCCTTATACAGATGTTTTAGTTATTGTTTTCTATAGGGAAAGTTGCATGAGGTTATCTGGTACAACTTAAACTTTATTTATTGGATAAAATTTTAAATTAGGAATTGAAAGCTTATCTTAAACTCTAAGGATCAAATATGGTAAAGTGAAACAAACGGGTCTATACATATAAGTAAGTAGACTTGAGATGGTTATCCTAACTGTAGCTGTGTTTTGTTCCCAATTTGAATTTAAAAAAAGTAATTACCTCTTTGACTACATTTTAATATGACCATAATGTCCAAAATTTAATTTTGCTTCCAAGTAATAATGTAGAAAATTTATGTTAAAATTTTGGTACATATAAAGATCTCCTATTTACCCCGTGCAGCACTCAGCATTGGTTCTAAAATAACTTGAATTTCCTGTTGCCTTTGTGATCTTTAATGGGTTTATTTAAGCCCTAAATATTAGAGGAACTATTGGAGAAGACCTTTTGATTAAGCACTTGGTCATGGACATTTTGACAAGTGCGGTGGCCTTCAGAGAGTTTCCCAGGCCATAATTTATTCCAGAAACACTGCTTGCCTTCTGCTGGTCTCCCTTCAAAAAGGAATTTTCATGGGTTGCATTTTATATTATTTTCCTTTTTTTTATTTTTAGAAAATAAGTCAAAACTTAGAAATAGCAGCTCCAGTCTTTAACTGTTTTACAATTTGACAACATTTTTATTCTAGGAGGATTATTAATGATGAACTTAAAACTGAATATACTTGATTTGGAATACTGACATTGATCTTTGGTATTACCTTAAGTTAAATCTACTCTTAATGTATGAAGGAGATTTTTTTTAAAGTCCATTTTTCTAGTTATATTTGCCTATGTAAGACATATTGAATGTTAACTTTAATACTACTTAATCACAGAAACATTTAGATAGTTGATGTATAATTAACTTATTTACCTCAAACATATAAATTGTTAGTATTCCATAGATGCACTGTATCAAGTCTGTTCTTTATAGGCATTATCCTATTTATTGCTTACACTAACCCTGTTTTCAAAGCCCCTGAATGGTTACATTTGCTCTACTGTCTTTCAATAAGTCCGACTATCCATTTAAAAGAATTTACTTAGTGGACTCTTAATTTTAGTAGATAATAGTCTTTCCTGTACATTTTAGGGTTGGTGGGTGTTTTTTTGGTTTGTTTTTGATTCATGGAAAAACATGTAGGAGTTACATCTTTTATATTTAATTATCTGGAACCTATGAGATAGTTATCATTCCAATTTTACCACTGAAGATATTTAAGACTAAGATTAATTTGCATGTGTGTGTTAGTAGTAGAGCTGGGATTTATTCTGTGGTCTGACTTCAGAGTTATGCTTTTTCTGGTTCATAATTCTGTGCATAAAGGGTTTTTTTCCATTTTATCCATATAAAATTTTATTTGGAAGGTTAAGTTTTGCCTTAAATATAATAAAAGCCTGTGTGTGTGTGTGTGTGTGTGTGTGTGTGTTTGTGTGTGTGTGTGTGTGTGTGTTGTATGCTGGGGATTGAACCCATGGCCTTGTGCAGGCATGGCAAGTACTCTACCCACTGAGCTATATCCCCAACTCATAAAAGGCATTTTATTTTTATTGATAGAAAAGGATTTGTGAGGAAAGTTTATAAAAAGCACTTTTGAGTACCAGAAAAGTGAAAAAAGTTTGCTTGAAAGAATACAGGTCAGGATAAAGAAAATTTGGTATATATACACAGTGGATTATTACTCAGCCATAAAGAATGACTTTATGACATTTGCCAGTAAATGATGGATCTGAAGACTGTCATGCTAAGTGATAAGCCAGTCCCCCMAAACCAAAGGTCAAATGTTTTCTCTGAAATATGGAAGCTAATCCACAATAAGGGTGTGGGGGTGCAAATAGAAGTTCAGTGGAATAGACAAAGGGAAATGAAGGGTGAAGTAAAAGGGGATGGGAGAAGGAAAGGCAGTGGAATGAAGACATAACTTTTATACAAAAGACATAACTTTTATACAGGAAACCTCACCATTGTAGATATCCATAAAAAATTAATAAAAAAAATAACTGGGTAAATGACAAGAATCAATAGAGAAAAGGAAGCAGGGGGTAGGGGAAGGGAAGCGAAAGGAGAGGTACTGGGGACTAAATTTGAACAAGATACAGTCCATGTTTTTTTATTATGTCAAAATGAAGTCTATGTCATGTATGTCTAAAAAGAAAACAACAACAAGAATACAGGTCAAAAGACCTAGGTTAGAATCAGTACTCATCTCACCGTTGTGTAGGAGATCTGTTTATCTCCATTTTTCTTCTACTTTTTCTTCTGTAACAGAAAAATGGTAAGTGACATTTACTATAAGAATACTTTCAGGATAAATATCAATATATATGTGAAATTCCTGAGATCTTAGGACTAAATGAGGTAACTTTTATTAATTATGCTATTATTGCTATAGAGCAGCTAAGGAGTAAACTGAAACCAGTTCCATGATGTTTATAGTGTAGACATTTTGATTATATAGAGTGATTAATTATGGTGCATTTATCCTAATTTGACTATATCTACATGTACATTTAAGTTATTTGCTGAGTTGGTTTTTGCAACGTTTTAGAATTGATAATGCCCTTTTGCTTACAAAAAWATTTAGTGCCCTGGTTTTGCTTGCAGCCTACATCCTAAGAGGGAACCCTTAGGAAACCAAATCTCCAGAGGTAGTTTGAAAATGGGCATCTCAGCATAGGCTAATGCTTGGTATTCCATGTCTAAGAACTGGGTAGAGCCCACAGCATGAAAATGTGACCCTGATAGAATTATATTTTTTGATTCTTTGAAATTATTTATTTGGTAGCTCTGTCCCTCTCACCCCTACCCCTGTATTAGAGATGTACATGCTGACATGCTAAGCAAGCACTCTACTACTGAGCTACATCCAAACCTTTTTTTTTTTTTTTCTTTTAATTTTGACAGAGAGTCTTACTAAATTGCCTAGGATGACCTCAAACTTGTGATCCCCATGCTTCAGTCTCCCAAGTAGCATGCGTAGATCACCATGCCYGGCTGGTACCTATGCTTTGATAAAACATGAAACAGACTGCAAAGCCAAATTGAAAAGCTTTTTGTATTACCTTTGCCTAATTTCTTCTGCCCCTTGGTTGATTTTTCTCTCCCCTTAATCACATTAGTATGAGTAATTGAAGAGTTGACAACACCACATTTTTTCAGCCTAAAGTTTAGGACCAAGCATCTGATCAAATTTGAGTTCATGATTTCCATTTCTCAGTGTTTATTCACTCAAAAGCTTTATTAAATTTCTTTCTTCCCTTTGAGCCCCTGTTTCCTTCCAAACATGAAGCCCACCTCTTCACCTTATTTCTACATTTTATTTAGTCAGAGTGGACTTCTACATTAGGAAACACTAATTGTAAAGATGTGAGTATTCTACTTCTAAAAGCCAAAATTCCTGGAGAATCTTAATTCTTTAATAAATATATGGTGGGATAATGCTATTCCTAAACTTYGTAGAAAAAAACTTCTAAAAATTAAAAAAAAATGTTTACTCTGTAAATGGCTAAAATTAGGTGTTTAAAAAATTTTTTTTAAATTTATTTTCTAATCAGTTATACATGATAGATGATTCATTGTACACAAATAGAGTAAGATTAGGTTTTTAATTAGTTTGTCTTATGATACATAGAGTGGAAAAATTGTTAATCTGTTCATTCATTTAGTATTTGGTCTTTTTTGTCAACAGGAAGAAGGTAGATAATGACTATAATGCCCTTCAAGAAAGACTCAGTACTTTACCTGATAAGTTGTCTTATAATATCATGGTATGTTTAGTGTGTTTCTTTTAAAGCAATACATTGTTTCTTGTAAACATTAATTGTGTAAAATATGATTTTTTTTTTTTGCTGTATGTGTACAAATTGACAAATTGATGGACTGTATCAGAGGTAACTACCATTGCAAGGAAGGTTTTGTTATACTTTATAACATTACAGTAATTGTAGTAATAGTTGGTAAATTTTTTCTTGTGTGTGTGTGTGTGTGTGTGTGTGTATGTATGTATTTCATTATAGTGACATAAATATTAGCACAGAATTTGACATTTGTGCAAACTTACTACATAAAAAACTGGAATTACAACAGTAATATCGCATAGGCTGTAATATTTTGTAATTCATAGAATTAAATGTTAGAACATTGATTTTTTTTTCCATTAAAAAAAGGTGCTGATAATTTTTGTTTTAATGATCCTCATAGTGTTATAGTGACCTGTTGAGAGCCCTGGATTAGAACCTTTTACCATATGAGTACTCTGTTTCTTGAAGGTTTTTTGTTATACTAGCCCAAATATTTTGTAATATAGCTAGGAAGATTCATTAAAGCTATTTTCCTCCCTGCTTTGCGAAAATGACTGATATTGGAAATAATTTTCAGGTTTTTTTTAAACCAAGAATATTCTTCATTGATAATATTTCGTTACTCTTAGTAATTTCATGTAGATTTAAGAATTAATGAAAAGTATAAATGCTCAGAGGCCACACTTTCTCTAAGYGTAATGTTTAAAGAGTGATGTGCAAACATGGTATGGATTTATATTCCTGTTTTTAACATTGATTATTAGCTTAAAGTAATTTTCTATAGATTTTCCTGGTGAAGTTTTAATATAAAATGTTAAATTTCTGTGAAGTTGGCATTTTATTTCTCCCAGTGTATAGTTAAAAAGAGAGTTCAATAATACTGAGGACTCTTAATGCTAAGTGTTTCATAAAGTGTATGTTTTAGTGCTTTAATTCTTTTGCCTTTTTCTTTTCTTTTTTAAACAATAGGTACCATTTGGCCCCTTTGCCTTCATGCCAGGAAAACTTGTTCATACTAATGAAGTCACTGTTTTACTTGGGGACAACTGGTTTGCAAAATGCTCAGCAAAGCAGGCTGTAGGTTTAGTTGAACACCGGAAAGAACGTAGGTACCACTTATAAATGTTGTTTCTTTGTTGTATATGTATTGGTTCACAAATTGCAAAGCTGATGGATTGTGGCCACAAATACCTTCCATGACTTAGTAGTCTAGGCTTTTTGTGATTTTTGTTGAGTTGCAGGTAGTTTGAGTTGAACCAACATTTGAGAATGAGCTGGAGAATGGAACAGTCTGGGTTGGAAATATCACCCACAATGGCATGTTTTCAGAAATTACCAAGTATAAAAGTCAGTACAGATGGTTTTGTAGACATAAGTTGGGAAGGCATAAGAATTGGGGGAATTTTGTTCTTTATAATTGGTTTGTTTTAGTTGATTTAATAGATTTATTTCTGCTTTTAATTCTTGGTACCCAGAAGTAATTTACTTTTTGCTTAGTGAACTAAGAGAAAGTCTATTTACACAAGTTGAAAATTCTTTAAAGATGCTTTTTGTTTTGGAAGAAATCATATTTTCATCTTATAGAAAAGACTAGGTGTGGAAAAGAACTATCACCTAATCCTTTACCCTTTTCAAGTGGCTTGAGTTCCTTGCCTCATTTTATAAAGGTAGCCTTAGTTTTGTTTATCTACAATAGTATTTGTTGAGGTATAAATACCTATGCCCTATTTTGTAATTAGATGGGTTAGCTTGGATCTAGCTTCATTGTATTTTAAAATTAGGTTTATTTAATTTCTAGTCTGTGTTCTTATTTCTAAAATAACATATTTAAATTGATGGTGTGATTTTACCCCTACCTGCTTTTCAAACTTCTAGTTAAATGTATGTTTGAAAATAAATTTTTGTGAGGATCCTTCTGTATAAATGAGGTCATATTGGATAAAAAACAGCTGAGTTTTCTAAAGCTGAAATTATTTCACTTATACATGGGTGGGTACTAGTTAGAGAACTCATTTAGTCTGTGAAATTTTGTGAACTATATTTAGAGACTCTAATTGCAAATCAACTCCTATAAGTTTATAATTGATATATATTTTGATCTTTTGTGACACTAATCAGAATCTCATTGTTAGGCCTATATATAATTTCTGTCAATGATAAATCTTTTGCCTTTACTACATTAAAATAAGTCATGTATATTAGAGGAAAGATAGTGGGCATAATTCTTTCTTAGAGACCTTTCTTAATAGACAAGGCTTTATTTAGTGGAACAGTTTTGTTGATAGGAAATCTGTTCATAACCTATTAAAGTTTGTTCACTTTGATTTTCAAATTTTAGTGAAGAAACTTTTAGAATAATATACAACTTAAAACATGAATAATGGAAGACTTTTAATACAATAGAATAGAGCTCTTGAGTAGAGAAACATTTTTAGTAAATCACTTTCCAATAGTTAAATGTGGTTTTGGGAATTAACCAAACATGATGACTTTTTATCAATTGCCATCTAAAATAATTTTTAGAACACATATTTATATGCCTTAGAATTAATTTGACAAATAAATTCTAAGTTGTTTTATTCACACATTTTTATGTAATTTTATAATAACAAGAAAAWATTATTAAAAGTATGCTTTTGTACTTTATATTTATTAAGAAAAGGTATATAGTTTCCGTACCCATGAGGGTATAATCCAAGACTCTCAGTAGAAGCCTGAAACCATGGAATCTTATAATTTAGTGCTTTTTCTGTCTTAACTAAACACTTTTCATGCACTGTGATTGTAATTTTTGTGATTTGAACATGGATTTCCTTTTCTCCACAATTTTACGAATTAGATGTTGGGAACCAAAGCACACTTTATTTTTTTCCCTCTTATTTAAGTTTAGAACTTTCACCTTTATTTTTAAAGGAAGYGTATGGTGTTTCCGTTGGCATTTCCAAATTGCCAGCATTACTACACTTCTGTTTTAGGGCCATTATTAGGTAAAATAAGGGTTACTTGAACACAAGTACTGCAGCCATACTCTGACATTTGATCTGATAACCAACCAGGCTATTAACTGATAAATGAATGGGTAAGATTATGTGGTCTGAATATGCTGGACAAAGGGGTGATTCATTTCCTGGGTGACATGGGCTCTCAGAACACCACACAAATTCAGATTTTTAAGAGAAAGAAGGCAAGCTCAGCGTCCCTACTCTTTGTGCTTATATCTTATATTTTGCCATTTAATAATCTTTTTTTAAAAAAGTTTTAAAACAATTTTTAAATTCTCATATGATGAAATTGATCTCTATTATGTTYTGTGAGTTATGACACATACTGATTTGTTTAACCATCACCACAATCAGATACAGATCAGGCTATACCAGTTAGAACATCAGATCACACCAGAAATTCCCTCATGTTGCCCATCTGTGATTATACCCTACTTCCGTTTCTAAGGCTTAACAACCACAGGTTTGTTCCATCTATTGTTGTTAATRGATTCAAAAGTCTCTTTGGAAAATGAATTCTTTCACTTAGTAATGCCTCACCCAAATTGCTCTGTGTATCAAAAGTTCATTCCTTTTAATTTTTTTTTTTTTTAGTTGTAGTTGGACACAATACCTTTATTTTATTTATTTATTTATGGGGTGCTAAGGATCGAACCCAATGCCTTACATGTGCTACCACTGAGCCACAACCCCAGCTCAAAAGTTCATTCCTTTTTATTGTGGAGTAGTGTCCCATTATGAATATACATTACATGCACGTGTCACACAGGTTTTCTGTTCACCTGTTAAAGGACATTTGGGTTGTTTCAATTTTGGGACAGTTATGAGTAGAGCTGCTGTCATCMTGTATAAGCTTTTGTGTGAATATCAATTTTCATTGTTGATGGTAAATACTGTGAATGGGATTGCTAGATCATAAAGTAAATATATGTTTAGTTTTTAAGAAATCTACCAAACTATTTTCCAAAGTGGCTGTGTGATTTTTACATCTCCATAGTAATGTATGAGAATTCTAGTAGATTTACATCCTTACTGGTACTTGTTATTGTCCATTTAAAAAATCTTAGCCATTTGAATAGTGCATAATAGTTTTAATTTGCATTTCCCTAATAATGTTGAGCATTGAATCACACACTTACATGCTGTATGTGTATCCTCTGTTCATGTCTTTTGCRGTTTTCAAGATTGGGCTATGGTTTCTTAGTTTTTAGAATTCTTTATATATTCTGGATATAAGTCCTTTGTTGAATATATGATTTGCAAATATTTTTTTCCATGCTGTATCTTTTCATTTTCTTTCTTGAGCAGAAGTTTTTAATTTTGAAGTTTCAGTTTATTACTTTTTTCTTTTATGAATCATGTATTTGATGGCATATCTAAGAACTCTTTGCCAAAGGTGGTTAAATATTTTCTCCCATATTTTATGTTAATTTTTGTATGAGGTATGAGGTTTAAGTCAAGATTCATTTTTCATGCATGTGAGTGCTCACAACACTGTTGAAAAAACTATCTTTTTTCCATTGAATTGACTTTGCACCTTTGTTAAAAATGAATTGGTAGTCAAAACCACATGAGATACCCCATTGCGCTGGTTGGAATAGAAAAGACAAATGAAATGCCATATATCCATAAATAGAATCTTACCAGTTTAAAAAAAAAAGTGCCTTGGGGGAGAGGTGGGGATATAGCTCAGTTGTTAGAAGTTTGCCTCCAATGCACAAGGCCCTGGGTTGGATCTTCAGCACCACAAAATAAAAATTTAAAAAAGTGCCATTAAAAACATTATGGTAAATAAAAGAAGCCCATTAAAAAGTTCATGTATATTATTCCATTTGCATGAGATGTTTAGAATAGGCAAATTTATAAAATACAAGATAGATTCGTGGTTGCTTAGGAATTGTGGAGAAGAATGGAGACTGCTAATGGGAATGGAGGAGATTTTAAAGGTATAATGAAAATGTAAATATAGATGTGGGGTGATAGTTGCACAACCCTATATATATACTAAGAACTGTTGAATTTTACATTTTAAATAGGTGAATTGTATGATATGTGAATTATATCTGACTAAAATTGTTAACAAGTAAACAAATTGGCTATGTTTGTATGGTTTGATTTGTATACCATTTATTTTGTTTCTTTGATCTATGTGTCTGTCCCTTTGCTAATATCACCCTGTTTAGATTATAGTAGCTTTATAGTGTTTCTTAAATTTGGGTAATATGAGTCCTATAATTTATTTTTTTCAAAGTTTGTTTTGGCTATTCTAACATGTTTATATCCACGAAAAAATTATGGTGGATTTTGATTGGAATTGTGCTAAATATATACATGAATAAGTTGAGGGAGAATTARCATCTTAACTGTATTTGTCTTTCAATCTGTACATGCAGTATAACTTTGTATTTAGGACTTCTTTTTTTTTTTAAGATTATTTTTAGTTGTCAGTGGACATTTATTTATTTATTTACATGTAGTGCTGAGAATTAAATTGCCCCATACCTGCCAGGCAAACTCTACCACTGAGCCACAACCCCAGCCCATTCTTTTGATTTTTTAAAGTGCAGACATATTTACACTTTTTATTATGTTTATTTTAAATTAACCTGTATCTGGCACCCTTGCCAAACTCATTTGTTCTGTACCCTTTTGAGGGATAGATTCTGTTGGATTTTCTATATAGTCAAAAATGTAGTTTATAAATAGTGACCACTTTATTATTCTTTTTCAATATGTATGTCTTTATTTCTCTTTCTTGCCTTACTGTGCTAGATAGGACTTGTAATACAGTATTGAGTAGGAATAGTAAAAGTGGGCATCCTTGCCTTGTGATTGATCTTCTAGAGAAATCATTTTGTCTTTTACTATTAAATGTGGTGGTAATTCTAGTTTTTTAAAATGATTGCCCTCTACCAAATATAGGACATTTCTAATTTGTAAACTTTTTTTTTAATCAGGAATACTGAATATTATTAACAGATTTTTTTCTGCATCTATTGATGTGATATTGTAATTTTTCTTTAGTCTGTTAATGTGATGAATTATAGTCAATGATTTTCCCTCTCTGGGTGAACCACACTTGGTCATGGTATGATTTTCATAT